ATGATTTTCGTACCGCAGAACAGGAAATGGCGAGCTACACTTGGATGAATTGATGTTGCACCGAGATCAATGTACGGCAGAGCCTCGTCGGTGATGGGAATTTTTGACACAGGAATAGATTCACCTGTGAAATCAGCCTTGAAATAGGCAACTTTCTTTTGGGCTTACCGGTAAGCATGCTTTCATTGATGATACAATCGCCTGCGAGGAGCAGACTGTCACAAGGAAGCAGTGAGAGAGAAGGATCGGAGACCTCATATACGTCGCCAGGAACCAGTTCACTTGAAAGAGCGGACCGCCCTACACCAGGGTCAGCATCGATCTGGTCGGATGAGAGTTGAACTTACAAAAGCCATTGCGAAGAACGCGAACGTCGCACTCAAAGCGCGAGATTTCCCTGAGTCGCTGCATTGTCTGTGAACTCATCAGGATCCGTGGGCCTGAGCCAGAATCAAAGTACGCGTACCGAACGAGTCTCTACAACCGTGGTGGTGATAGAGAACACTGAAATAACAAAGATTGCCGCGGCATAGTAGTAGTACTCATCTAATGACCAGAGGATGAGACTGGCCACCTGGAAGATGTAAAAGGGGTGAAAAGCCTTCCCGAAATCAGCGCTCGAAAAAGAGTTGGATCTAGGGGGGCCAAACCTCGTCAAGAAGTAGCTCTGGAATCGTCTTCTGCTGGATCTCGATCATATTCTTGCCAAAAACTTGATCTCTCGGATCTCTTTCTTCGGTGTCTAGGCCCTCCCGAAGAGCTTTCACCGACACCCATTGCGGATCCCACCAGTCGTTGTTCAAGACGAATTTATCTTCAACGGGGTAATACAAGAGCCTCATGTATCTATAATCAAGATACCGCAGGCGCCGCAACTCTGCATCGTTGTCATATCGATAGCCATTGAGCTTTTCCTTGCCGGATCGCGTAAAAACAGTTGACATTGGGTGGCCATAATCCTCTGACACCACATAATGAACAGTAAATTCGCCCCATTGATTCTGAAATTTCTTAGCCTTGTTCTTGAGGCGCGGTCGCTCTGGGCCATAGCTCACCTCTACGACGACCCAAGAGCACTTTCTGAGGGGTGATGGAGATCCAACAAGAGATATGCGCCATCGCGGCATCCAGCGAAAGACCAGATACCCGATGCCCGCGGTGAAGACACAGATAGCCATATAAGTCAGATAGCCGATAGTAGATGTGGTAAATCCAGCTATGGCCATTGTCAGATCCTCATTCTCAATGTATAGTTTTTGACTAAAGTTGCCGCCATCCTCGTGTTTCTGAGTGTCGCTTCTAGCTGAATCGTGTCTATAAAGTAGCGGCTGGTCAGAAGACGACCGGTATCTGCTTGAACTCTTGCGGTGGGGGGTGGTATGCTCAAGGCCAGCTTCCAAGTCTCGGTCCTCGTGGGGTAGGTGGCCCTGCTCCTCGTCGCTCTCGACGGCCTCTTCGTCTGAGAACACACTGGGCGCTTCTTGCTCTTGTTCCGTGAAGTATGTGAACGAACTGATCGACCCAGCCCGCCTTCTGGGCACCCTATACGCGAATCCCGTTACCGAAGAGGGCACAGATTCTGCTGGATAACGAAGTCAGGGGGCGTCAACCATGCGACGTCGGCTGGATGACAAACTTACATATGGGCCCAGAAAACACGTCGGTTGTCGACATCTCGACATCACTGACTATGCTTGCAGTGCTCAAATTCGAATCTCTCCTGTGCATTCTTCCAGCACTTGAGCTCCTCCTTCGCGAGGAGCGCCGAGCGGCGCCTTCGTGATGCGCGCTGCTGTCCATGGTGTGAAGTGCCGCAGGCACAATGAACTTGCGTATCAACTCATCCTAGTGGCAGAAGAAGTAAGGGATATGGGCGATGGGTGAGAGGCGACTTTGGCGCAGCTGCACAGGATACATGTAGATAATATCAATCTAGGCTTGAATTTGGGTGGGGGATGATGTATCACCGGGGGCAGGACTTTTCCATAGCTTTTCTAGCACTCAATTGCACCAGCCCAACAACCACAAGTGAATCTCTGCTTATGGGTATTAACGTTACTGTGAAGCCATCTCGAATACCTAAAATCCTCCAAACCGGGAAAAAAAAAATTTCGACATGTCGTAGTTGGGCCACCCTTCGCCGTCCTCTGGCGAATGTCACGTTCAGGCTGGGGAGGCCTAGCGTAGCTGCTGTTCCCAACTGGTGATTCTGCACAACAGCGCAGGCACTTGGTGGCACTCTCGCACTAGTCCCCCACCAGCAAGAACGTGGGACTCGGAGGCAAAACTGATTTATTGCACAGCAATTCACGCGGCCTGCCCAAAAATCTTCAATCTTTCCGTTCCATTTTCCTCTATTCTTTGTCAACATCGTTCCTCAGTCGAGGAGCAAGTGACGCTCCTCTTTACGCACCCCTCCGAATCACCCTCGAAGCGTCTCTGGGAGAGTCGCGGAATCGCCAGCCGAACCCGCTTTGAAAAAAGACCCAACGTCTACTCAACATTTGGATTTCTTCCTCAACAACTCACGCAACTTGACCTTGGATTGAACCTGTTGAACCAAAGGCAAAATGGCTGAAATACCCAAGGCTCGAAACCTGACCGCCCCTACACCGCAGAACAGTATGTCCTCCCCGTTTGCTTCATGTTACGTCTCACTCACAGTTTTCCAGCGCCTGCATCTAATGCGCCCATTTCTTCACACGCCACTGCCCCCAACGTGAGCTCCATCGCTGAAGGTGAGGAAGTGCCAATACTGCCAGTTTCGACATGAAGTTAACCCGTGACAGAGGACCTGGATCGTGTTGCCGCTGCGTCGATATTTGCAAAGAACCCCGCTCTTGTATCCATGATGCAGCAGAAGCTCGGTTCCCTCGTCGGCCGATCTTCAGGATATATCGAGTCCTTGCCGGCTCCCGTCCGCCGCCGGGTTACTGGTTTAAAGGGAATCCAGAAGGACCACGCAAAGTTGGAGTCGGAATTCCAAGAAGAAGTCCTCCAGCTGGAGAAGAAATACTTCGCCAAATTCACTCCGCTCTACCAAAAGCGCGCCGCCATTGTCAATGGCGAGGTGGAGCCTACCGAGGACGAGGTCGAGGCTGGGAAACCCGAGGACGAGGAAGAGCCCGAAGATGATGCAGACAAGGAGGACAAGACAACCGAGGAGGACATGAAGGGGATCCCTGAATTCTGGCTTTCTGCCATGAAGAACCAAATCTCCCTTGCCGAGCTCATCACGGACCGAGACGAAGAAGCCCTCCGCTCCTTGACCGACATTCGCATGGAATACCTTGATCGTCCAGGTTTCCGCTTGATCTTCGAGTTCGGCCCCAATGATTTCTTCACCAATAAGACCATTTCAAAAACATACTACTACCGAGAGGAGAGTGGCTATGGCGGCGACTTCATCTACGATCACGCCGAGGGCGACAACATCGACTGGAAGGCGGGCAAGGATCTTACTGTCCGAGTTGAGAGCAAGAAGCAGCGAAACAAGAGTAAGTCGCAGGCGCACTTGGTGAGGCTGAAAATTACTGACATGCAGAACAGACACGAAACAGACCCGAGTGATCAAGAAGACGGTTCCTACCGAGTCGTTCTTCAACTTTTTCTCACCGCCTGTTGCTCCGACGGAGGACGACGAGATCGCCTCGGACATCGAAGAGCGACTCGAGCTGGATTATCAGCTGGGCGAGGATATCAAGGAGAAACTTATTCCTCGCGCTATTGACTGGTTCACTGGTGAGGCGTTGGCATATGAGGAATTCGAGGATGCCGAAGACGCCGAATTCGATGACGAAGAGGATGAAGATGACGAGGATGAGGAAGAGGCTGAGTCTGACGAAGACGACGAGGAAGAGGGCGGGAAACCTCGTTCTCAACAAACCTCAGAATGTAAGAATCAGTAAATGGTCCCAATACCTGGGATCGGGGTTCCGGCTTGACCCGCTCTGGGCATAATGGGCGTTTGAGAACGATGCTGTCATGATCGATTCGTCGATAATGGGTGAAAGGGCACAGGGGGCGACTCAAGCCCAACGGGTTCCTTTCACAATTCCTACATGAATTTGTGGTCCAAAGCTTGAAGATGGGCGTTCATGGGTATCATTATTACAGAAGAGCAACAGATTTCCGTTAGTCAGTGACAAATGCTAGTCCGCACTCCCAGCAGTACGTCGTGCTATGTTGGAAAGCAATATTTTCAAGCATAAGGTGAGTATGGGCAATGAAAGAAAGGCAAACTGGCCACGTAGCACGGCGACGGTGGTAATAATAGTAGTCCCTCATCCTTCCTGCAACTAAGATCTAATGTCCCTTTTTAGGCCATCTGGGGGAAGATCTCATCGAAGACGCAAGGAATGCTGCCAGCAAGCGTCTGGGACCAACCCTTGAGGTTGCAGCATAGTTTACTTAAAAAAAAAAAGGGGGGGAAGTTGCCACTTGTTAAACCCATCGGCATGGGCGGCGGACAATTTCTGAAGGCCTGGGTGGATGCCAGGGCCACTGTCAGGGGGCTGAAGATGAAGCTCGCGCTTAGGACGAAGAGGAAAGGCGCCAGATGGGTGAGCGGACTGCAGGAAGAGCAGCACGACCTTTGGTCCCTTTGGCTCTGGTGCGGGCTTGGGGCTTGGGGCCACCGGGCCTATTTACCACGGGTGCAAGCTGGTGCTTGGATGCATGGGGGAGCGCGTCTCGTCGACAACTCGAGTCCCTGAGAAACTTTCTGACATCTCGCAAGTCAATCACAGCCGCACCTCAAACCCAAGCCAGACAATCAAGTCAACATCTCATCGCCATCCCTTTGTCCCATCTCTCATCTCTGCCCCGAATATTGTACGCATCTTTACTTCTCGTCGTTCTTTCTGCACCTGTGAGGCTAGCACAACCCCTGTGATTGAACACGTCTCCCCCCAGACGCTCCTCCCAGACTCCGAATACATGGCTGCCCCCATTGCCTGCAGTTGAGAGTCCTATTCATACGTCCATCAGCACCGCCCGCGATGGCGAGTTGGGAGATCGGTACTCGGGCCTGGTTCCCAAACCAGTCCGAGGGTTTCATTCCCGGTGAGCTTGAGCAGAGAAAAGATCTGGGTGACGGCAAAATCGCCCTCGTCTTCAGTCTCTCCGACGAGTCCAAACAGACAGTCGAAACCACCGAGACTGCCCTTCTCGACACCCACAATGCCTCTTTACCTCCCCTCATGAACCCTCCCATGTTCGAGGCCGCCGAAGACCTGACCAACCTGTCCCATCTAAACGAACCTGCCATCCTGCAGGCCATCAAGCTCCGATATGCGCAGAAAGAAATCTACACCTACAGCGGGATTGTGCTGATAGCGACGAACCCGTTTGCACGGGTGGACTCGCTGTACGTCCCTCAGATGGTCCAGGTGTACGCTGGCAAGCAAAGAGCATCACAAGCACCCCATCTGTTTGCCATTGCGGAAGAGGCATACACGGATATGTTGCGGGATTCACGGAATCAGACTGTCGTCGTGTCCGGCGAGTCGGGTGCCGGTAAAACAGTCAGTGCCAAATACATCATGCGGTACTTCGCAACCCGAGGGGCCCCTGGACAGGCCAGCAAAGGGACCAAAGCGAGAGCAGATGCCATAAGTGAGACCGAGGAGCAAATCCTTGCTACAAATCCGGTCATGGAAGCATTTGGCAATGCAAAGACGACGAGAAACGATAATTCTTCACGATTCGGAAAATACATTGAAATCATGTTTGACCAGAACACCGACATCATTGGCGCCCGGATAAGGACATATTTGCTTGAACGATCACGACTTGTCTTTCAACCATTGAAGGAGAGAAACTATCACATCTTCTACCAGCTCGTAGCCGGTGCGACAGAAGAAGAGAAACAAGAGTTAGGCTTGTTGCCCGTGGAAGAGTTTGACTATCTGAATCAAGGCAACGAACCCACGATCGATGGTGTCGACGACGCTGCCGAATTTACAGCCACAAGGAAGGCCTTCACCACAATCAACGTTTCCGAGGCCACCCAAAAGGAGATCTTCCGAGTCCTTGCCGCTCTCCTACACATCGGAAATATCAAAATCACTGCTACTCGCTCAGACTCGACCCTCTCCGCGACCGAGCCTTCGCTGGTTCAGGCCTGCGGCATACTAGGGATTGACGCGGCCGATTTTGCCAAATGGACGGTCAAGAAGCAACTCATCACGCGAGGAGAAAAGATAACCTCAAATCTGACGCAGCAGCAGGCCACCGTCGTGCGCGATTCCGTGGCCAAGTTCATATACTCTAGCCTATTCGACTGGCTAGTGGAAACCATTAATCACGGCCTGGCGACGGAGGATGTCCTTCAACGGCTGAATACTTTCATCGGGGTGCTTGATATTTACGGTTTTGAACATTTTGCAAAGAACTCCTTCGAACAATTCTGCATCAACTACGCGAACGAGAAGCTCCAGCAAGAATTCAATCAGCATGTATTCAAACTTGAACAGGAAGAATACATGCGTGAAGAGATCGACTGGAAGTTTATCGATTTTTCCGACAATCAACCTTGTATTGATCTTATCGAAGGGAAACTTGGTATTTTGTCTCTCTTGGACGAGGAATCTCGACTGCCAATGGGCTCGGACGAACAGTTTGTCACAAAATTGCATCACCATTTTGCGGCGGACAAGCAGAAATTCTACAAGAAACCCAGATTTGGCAAGTCGGCATTCACGGTTTGTCATTATGCCCTCGACGTTACCTACGAATCCGATGGCTTCATCGATAAGAACCGGGATACTGTACCGGATGAGCAGATGGAAGTGCTTAAGAAGTCTACAAATGCCTTCTTGGTTGACGTGCTGGACGTTGCCGCGGCGGTGAGAGAAAAGGACACTGCTCAGACATCTTCGAAAACCGTTGCCCCCGGAGGTGGACGCCGAGTTGGTGTCGCTGTTAATCGCAAACCTACTCTGGGAGGCATATTCAAGAGCTCTCTCATTGAACTTATGCAAACCATCAACTCCACTGATGCACACTATATTCGTTGTATCAAGCCTAATGAAGCAAAGGAGTCATGGAAGTTCGAAGGGCCCATGGTATTGAGTCAACTACGGGCGTGCGGTGTTCTGGAAACCGTCCGCATCAGCACCGCCGGTTATCCTACACGATGGACGTACGAAGAATTTGCTCTGAGGTACTACATGTTGTGTCGTTCGAACGAATGGACAACGGAAATCCGTACGATGGCACAGAACATCCTTGTGAAAGCCCTAGGAAAGACAGCCCACGAAAAGTCCGACAAGTACCAACTTGGTCTTACCAAGATTTTCTTCCGAGCAGGCATGTTGGCCTTTCTAGAGAACCTTCGTTCGGCTCGGTTGAAAGAGTGTGCCATCATGATCCAGAAGAATTTGCGGGCAAAATACTACCGACACAAATATCTCGACGCCAGACAGTCGATCCTCAATTTCCAAGCCGCTACGCGAGCGTTTCTGGCTCGAAGAAAGACCGAGCAAACAAGACGGACAAAGGCGGCGACAGATATCCAAAGAGTGTGGCGAGGACAGAAAGTACGCAAAGAATACATTCGGATCAGGAACGATATTATCCTATTCGAATCCATTGCCAAAGGTTATCTCTGCAGGAGAAATATCCTGGAGACTCGCATCGGAAATGCAGCGGTCACCATCCAAAGAGCTTTCCGTTCGTGGCGAGCATTACGTGCCTGGAGGCAATATCGCAGAAAGGTGGTCATTGTGCAGAACCTGTGGCGCGGCAAGGTCGCCAGGCGCGACTATAAGAAAATGCGTGAAGAGGCTCGCGATCTCAAGCAGATCTCCTATAAACTTGAGAACAAGGTCGTGGAGCTCACACAGTCTCTTGGCGCACTCAAGCGAGAAAACAAGTCCTTGGTTTCCCAATTGGAGAATTACGAGAGTCAGTTGAAATCCTGGAGGTCGAGACACAATGCTTTGGAGACCCGGTCTCGGGAGCTTCAGAGTGAGGCGAACCAAGCCGGTATTGTAGCAGCGCGCCTGGCTGCCTTGGAAGAAGAACATGCCAAATTGCAGACCAGCCACGATGAACACATGGGCAACGCAAAGAGACTGCAAGAAGAAGAGCGCAAGCTTCGAGAGTCATTGAAGACTTCCAATGCGGAGCTCGAAAAATTGCGACAGTCAGTGTCCACGCATGAAAGTGAGAGAGGCACTCTGCGACAACAAATCAACGAACTGCAGGATCAGCTTGAGATTGCCAGACGGGCGCCACCTCCACCAGCCGCGAACGGCGCCAACGGAGAATATGCCAATGGTACCTCTCAGCTTGCCAACGGACTCATCAACCTTGTTTCATCCAAGAAGCCTCTCAAGCGACGAAGCGCGGGAGCTGCCGAACGAAGCGAAATCGACAGATATAGTGCCGCATATAGTGCCCGCCCTGTTTCAATGGCGATCGACTCTCACACCAAGACTCTCTCAGGTTCTACGTTCAACCCTGGTCTAGACAGTGTTGAGATGGAGCTCGAGAATCTCCTTGCGCAGGAAGAAGAACTCAACGACGAAGTCACAATGGGTCTTATCCGAGGCATCAAGATCCCCCAACCAGGCGCCAACCCTGCACCTACGGACAAAGAGGTCTTGTTCCCATCTTACCTCATCAATCTGGTAACGTCTGAGATGTGGAACAATGGGTTCGTCAAGGAATCCGAACGCTTCCTCGCCAATGTCATGCAATCCATACAGCAAGAAGTCATGCAACACGAGGGCGACGAAGCGATCAATCCCGGTGCATTTTGGTTGTCCAACGTGCATGAAATGCTCTCCTTTGTCTTCCTAGCCGAAGATTGGTATGAGGCGCAAAAGACCGACAACTACGAATACGATCGTTTACTTGAAATTGTCAAGCACGATCTCGAATCTCTCGAGTTCAACATCTACCACACCTGGATGAAAGTGTTGAAGAAGAAGTTGCATAAGATGATTGTGCCCGCAATCATCGAATCGCAGTCGCTACCCGGTTTCGTCACCAATGAAAGCAACCGCTTCTTGGGTAAATTGCTGCCCTCGAACAATACTCCCGCGTATAGCATGGACAACCTCCTCAGTCTCCTGAACAATGTCTTCAAAGCCATGAAAGCATACTATCTCGAAGACAGCATCATTACCCAAACGGTGACTGAGCTCCTTCGTCTTGTGGGGGTGACTGCCTTCAACGATCTACTTATGCGGCGCAATTTCTTGTCGTGGAAGCGCGGTCTGCAGATTAATTACAACATCACTCGTATCGAAGAGTGGTGCAAGTCTCACGATATGCCCGAGGGGACTCTCCAACTCGAGCATCTCATGCAGGCCACTAAGCTGCTCCAGCTCAAGAAAGCGACGCTCAACGACATTGAAATCATCCAGGATATCTGTTGGATGCTCTCGCCCAATCAGATTCAGAAACTGCTCAATCAGTATCTCGTCGCCGATTACGAGCAGCCTATTAATGGTGAAATCATGAAGGCTGTAGCGTCGAGGGTGACTGAGAAGAGTGACGTTCTGTTGCTTGCGCCAGTGGACATGGAAGACAGCGGTCCCTATGAGATTGCTGAGCCCAGGGTCATCACTGCGCTGGAGACGTATACCCCGTCATGTAAGTGTTTTACTCTTTCCCCTTTTTCACGCTGCTCGGTCCCGACTCCTTTTGGAGGGAAGCCATTCAAACTGTGTCCATCGACTGTACTGACAAGGAGATACAACAGGGCTCCAGACACCGCGTCTCAAACGCCTGGCGGAAATTGTCTCCGCCCAAGCAATGGCTCAGCAAGAACAAGGAGGCCTTCCCGACGGAGCGATCAGTGACTCTGAAGCTATGATGGCATAGTGCAAATTGGGTGGCGATTGGGTCGGTTTCATCCCAACAGCTGCTTCTCTGTCCGTGACAATTCGTTCCCTGCTCTGTGTCAGGAAAATCTTGGTCGCGGCAGCGAGAACCAAAATGTTTCTGATGATTACGTGTGGAAGAGACTACCGCCTAGTCCACGAATGGTTGGCGTCTATGCCCTAGACATCGAGGGAAGAAGAAATCTAGAACAAAGAGGCCTCATCATCGACATGCTCCTCGGCAAAGAAGCAATTGCGAAGAAGGCTGAGGCAAGTAATTATACACACCTTTTGGGCATAGCACTGCGGAGTTTACTAGAGCACTTGGGTCTCCTCTACGGCTGGCAAAGGAGTTCCTTTTCTGGGCGCGGCGTCTTCTGCGGTCTCTGACTATGTCAATGTTAATGTCGGGGCGAAGCTGGAAGCAAGAGAACGAGACTCGATAGAGCCTTGTGTCGGTTCTGGCTATCTCTTTGCTTTCTTCGTACACGCCTTGCGCTGTTTTATTTCTGCCATGTAAACCCAGGGCCGTTGAACGTGGACATATTCAGATATGCGTAATGTGCAATGTTGGAGCAGACTGCGTTCGTTAAGGAGATGACTTTGGCCCAAGGCCGTATGTAACGACCTGGAGGATAGGTAAATACATAAAGAGCAATTTCGCCTCATTAACAGTCACTTTGCAGATCCCAAGGCCGGTATCTTTAAGGGTCAAGGCTGGCTGGGTGCGTACATATTGTGGGGGCTCAGCTACAATCCTCGTCTGGGCCACGCAGATAGGATGTCTGGGTCAGGCTCTGCCCAAATATCTCGCCAGTGCTAACAAACTCGATTATGTAGCACTGGGGAGAAGCTCTAGCATCATCTCTTTGACTGATCGGAGCACTCGTGGGCGGAAAACACTGAATTCTGTGAACCGGACGGTCAACAGACAAACAGCGATTGAGGGCCATTCTGAGAAGCTGCGCGGAATGAATACACCGTGAATATCGGTTCTTTGGGGCAATGAGACATGAAAGTGTATTGGGCCCAGTTAAATCTATGTGGCCTAGGAGACTGCCTTTATTCAACCCTCGTCGTCACTAGTTAGTTATTAGCCGGTGGGTCGGAGGGCTGATTTCCGGAAAGGGATAGAAGTCTGGGTGACTATTATTATTATTAATAACAATATTGGAGTCGGTTGGCAATGGACCCTAATTCGGCAGCCACACTTTCCGAGCAAAAAGGAGGAACTCTTACACTGTCAAGGTTGCCAGGCTCAACGGTTTGGGCCCAATTGACTGACACCGCCTCGCGAAGCTGCCATCTGGTCGACCTGAGCTCTATGTGCCTTAAACGCCACATCGTTCCCAAGACCTCTTTCGAATACTGCCAAGTACAGAATTGTCAGGATGGCCTCGTCGTCTGCACGTGCATTCGGTTTTGCCAGCCTCGCTCTCTGCTTCGACATTGCCCAGCCCACCTGAATGAAGGCATCCTGTGCTAATGGAGAACCAGGACAAAGCGATTGCAGTGTGAGAAACTTTTGTCAGACCAAGTAGAACGTGAAGGAAGTCCTCATGCTTCGTAATATTCTCGAGTCCCCAGTGTCCTATTGACGACGTTCCAGGCTTCGTTGATTGAAGCAACTGTGACCAATGACCGGCGTGGTCCAGAGTTTCGTTCACCTCTTCACCCGTGGGTATCACACAGTGTATAACCAGACTCGGGTTAGGGCATCGTATTGTGTAATGAGGACAGACGCGTTCACTCACCGAAGTCAATAGCGAGCATGCGCCATAACGAGCACTTCCAGCAACGTAGTCGAGGTGGAAAAGAATTAAGGCCTTCTCCTCTGACAGACCGAGTCCATCGATCTAGTTGCCGGATGCTGTCTCAGAGCGGGATCTCAAGTAATGCGGATATGTGGGCAAGGGCGAACAATGCTTGTCAAAGACAACCGTGTTGGCATTTTCTCGATGCCTAAACTTGGCTGCGTGCGAGCGCGCTCTGGACCGAAGGAGCTCATAGTCGCTTCTGGACTGACTTTGGACGGGGACGTAGGGGATATATGATAATTGCAGTGGCATCGACTCGGCCTGAGAAAAATCGTGATGTCTCTTTGAGTCCAATACAAGATCGAAATGTTTGAATGCTACTTCTCAGGACGACTTCCGTCTCCAGGGGAGATCCCAAAGGACCGTTTATCTATACTCCCGATCGATGACGCTTAGCCGTGATAGCGCCGCCGGAGACTCCTCAACAGGGCAGGAGGGATCATTTAAGCGGCTAAGCCGTGGAACATCTCTCCGCTGTGCTGGTTGTGGAGCCAATGCAAAGAAAAGCTTGAACTGCTTGAACTGGTGAAGATCATTGCTAGAGCATCTCGCTGAACGATCGAGAGGGATGCCCGGACGAATGATGCTGAAAGCCGTAACCCTACCCCAGCGCAAAAGCTTGGTTCCTTTCCCATTGAGCGTCAACCTTCTTCGAAAAGTATTTGTGCCCACTGTTCTGTAGGTGATGATGGTCATGTTAGCCGAAGATTTACAATAGGGCCCGGATGAAGATAGGTTTCCCTTACCTGACGTTACCTACCCATCCCTGAACAGAAGGCTGTGCTTCGATCCCGCCACGGTACCTGTTTAGTCGTCGTGGTGCGCCCTTGCCCCTTCCGCATGGTCGGGCAAGGGTCAATTCTGGTGTTGGGCAAACCAGGCTACCTGAGGCGTCTAACCGTGCGCCTTGAGTTGAGTCTGCTCATTTCCTACCTGCAATGCCCTGCAGGATTTGAAGTCGTCCGTCTGCAAGAACCATGGCGGGGGTATACAATATCTAGAGGAGAAAACCCTCCAGCCCGCGGAAAAGTTAGCTGTGACAATTTGATGGCCATGACTCCAACCCGGGGGACATTTCATGAAGACCAAGCCAGTCCGATGACTGGGAGATCATTCAGAGTCGGCCGGGATTTTGGGCCTTTATAATAGATATTACTTGTCTAACGATAACTTCCCCCTCTTCCTTATCTTGTGTAACGCTAAGTACCTGTATATCTCCTTCCATTCTTGGTATCCAGCATTTCCAGCCTCAGGTTAGAACAGCCCTGCGCCCTCGCGCCCTGTTTCCTGGTGGATACGGAAGGGCGTGTTCGCGATGCCGGATTGGATATCGCGTCCGAAACGGAGCTGAAACCTGGGCCGCTCAGAATTGATGGGGCCCATATCGACCGCTTGCGGCTGTGAAGGGCCCTCCCAGCGAATCTATCACAGACAAGGCAGAAATCGCGGCCAGCCTCAAACCTTATCGGGAGACAAAATCTTTGCGAAGGCAAAGAGATCAAGAAGAAATCGGGCGTCGGGCGCCTGTCCTCGCCTTGCAATCATGGACGAATCTGGAGCGACAGCGGCATCACAGAAACTTCCAATGGTACATCCTAATGTCAATCCGGGCGTTGGCCCCAATCGAGCACCTTGGTTGTGTACGATTATCCTTCTCCTTGAGACTGTCAGACAACTAGATCATAAATCTCTTGGCTCAGTACCAACCCTGAATTTTCATTGAGAGAAAGTCGTCTTACAGTCGGACCTATGACGGCTGTATGTGGGTACCACAATGGAGATTTCAGTAAGCTACCGACAACTTGTCTGCAGTGTTCGAAGCAGCCATGAGGCTATTCAGCTTACTGATCTACCCTCAGACTCACCAGTCGCCTGTCGCTCACGCTTTGGTTGTGTTGAATGGCAGTTTCCCGGCGTTTTTGGATGCACGGGTGGCGTACCATCCTACCAACGACATGTGTGGAAGTTGGACACCAGAGTCCGATGTTCACTGTTGAAACCACAACCTGGTGACTTGGCGCCTACTCTTAAGCGAGACCGACGGCTCTGACAAGAACTTTGGCAGTCACTCCGACGCGCCGTATTGTGCGACGGTCTCCCTATACTAGGACGACTTCTTCTACACGCACTGGGAGTGCAAGACACGAACGGTTGAGGCGATCACAATACTGGCTACTCCAGGACCACAGGCGACGGTGCTGTGTCGACCCATTACCTCAATGCAGCTTTTTCAGCACCTGGCGCAACTCCTTCCACGGGGGCAGCCTCTTCAGCTCCTGACACAACTTCTTCTACCGCAAGTCCATCGGGAGGAAGTGGCGGGAATGCAGGCACCGACAAGGCGAGCAGTTCAGACAGCAGCAACATCGGCACGATTATTGGCGCGGTGGCCGCTGTTGGACTGTGGATCTGCACCAAACACCATTTCTGGAGACAACGGCAGTATCGGATTTCGAGAGATCGAAATTTCGGAAACCATCGAGACTTGGTGGTGCGAAGGAACGGGGACATGATGGGAGTGGTTGGGCAGATTGGGCAGGGAAGGCCGGTGAATATTTACGTCAATGAGCTTCACTATCATGACCATACAGGAATGGGAAGGACGTTGAGGTTAAATAGTTGAATCCTGCCACACCCGGCTAGAGAGTCCATCCAGGTGGTTATGAAGCTCTTGTAATGAGTGCCAAAGTCGGCGTTTCCACATTATCATGTTCAGACTTGTCCGCGTCATCAAACGAGGAATGAGGCCGTCTGTCGCATGTCTGCAGACGGCAACCAAGTCGCAAGGGTGCGGCGTCTCCTGTTGTGCTCGGTGCAAGGTACTTAGTGGATGACGAGCAGCTGTGAGTCCCAGCAATCCTCGGCCCTCCTCTCCGCCTCCCTTCTTCCCTCCTCCGTTGCAGGATCTTGTCGCCAAGGCTGGGGTTGCAATGAGACAGATTCAATGAATCAATTCGGGCACTGGCCGCGGCTATTCCTTGTCGAGCTCCCTATCATCTATCTGCGCTACTTGGTCCTACTTGTGGATTGCCGCTAACTGACGAACTAGGTCGCTAGCCCCCATGCGAAGCTCAGGCCCGGGCGGAAGCGGTTTTCCGGTCTCGAAGTTTCCTGGTTTGTAGCCCAAGCAGGCGAGGCGGGGTATAGTTGATGTCAGCAAATACAAATACAAGCTCAGACACTAGGCGATCTCCCGTGGAGGGGTATTGATAAGAGCCACGGCCAACTTCATTTCGACCCCCCCCCCCCCCAAAGAGAAGCTCTTATCTGCTTCTCTGTCGAAAGGACACAAGCACAAGAAAACTCTAAACCATTGCCCCAAACTGTTCGTTCGGGCGGCCAAAAAGCATCCAACATGGATGACAACGACGTCGAGATGAGCCACAAGGATAACAAAGTCATTAAGTCGGTGGATCAGCAAGAATATAATTCCAAACGTGCTGCATTCTACCCTTACAGAACCCGTGGTGCTCAAGTCTTGGATGTATGCCCTCCACGTCCCCAGAGAGAGATATATATATATAATCGGTAAACCCTGTCTGAACTTCTGAGACAGCGATACATCAGCTTCATTCCGACGATAGCTTTCCCAGCCACGTTGCAGTCATCATGGGAAGCGGTGGCGGTCAGTTTCCAGGCTGGTCTGCTCAATGGCGGGCCAACAGCGTTAGTCTGGGGGACCCTATTGTGTATAATTGGATCTCTTGCCGTGGCTCTGTCACTTGGTGAGATGGCATCCATGTTCGCCCCTCCTGTTCAGCATCACGTCGTTCCAGGCTGACCGAAGGCTAGAAACCCTGTCGTCGGCGCGCAATATCGTTGGACTGCTCTTTACTCGCCCAGAGGGTTTCTGTCACCAGCATTCTGGAGCTTACTCCAAGGCACTATCCTCTGAACTTGTCCAACGGGCGCCGTCTCTGACATCTTCCAGGTTGGATTACTGTATTTGCATGGATTGCGGTCTGTGCACAAGTATGCTTCCTTGAGGGCACCATCCTCCAAGGTCTTATTATCCTCAACGATGACACGTATGTGCCTAAGCTGTGGCATGGCACCCTTCTGGCCTGGGCCATCCTCGCCTTTCCTCTGATATGCAATATCTTTGCCAGAAGAGTCCTTGCACAACTAGAGGTCCTTGGAGGTATCCTGCACATTGTGCTCTTCATCGTCTTCGTCGCCGTGCTAGCATCGTTGTCGCCCCGAAGCTCTGCTGATTTCGTGTTCACGGATACAGTCACTAACCTCAGTGGATACCCGAGTTCTGGAGTATCATGGTGTATTGGCTTGCTATCAGGCGCTTTCCCCCTGGCGGGATTTGATGGCGTGCTTCATATGAGTATGCCTACTCCGTCCGGTTGGATAAGGCACTCAACGGGCTCACAATGCTTCTAGGCGCCGAAGTCAAAAACGCACCTCTTCGCGTTCCACAAAGCATGGTCCTTAGTGTCCTCATCAATGGCATTCTCGCTTTCGGCATCATCATCACCATACTGTTTACCATTGGCGACCCAGTTGCAGTCTCCCAAACAGCATACGTCTATCCAATCATCCAAATGCTGTACAATTCGACCGGCTCCAAGGGTGCGACCACAGCAATGATGTCATTGCTTCTCTTCATTGGCGTTGTAGCCGTGTTCAGCACCCTTGCCTCCGTCTCTCGCTTAACATGGGCATTCGCAAGAGACAATGGCTTGCCCTTTTCGAATTTCTTTGGCAGAGTGCGTGAGCGGTCGCTCTTAGCTCCTGCTTTCTTGGAATGTTCACTAACCAAAGAGAATAGGTCAACGCGACCCTTCGGATCCCCCTCAACTCTCTCTCCCTAATAACTATCATAGTCATGCTCCTCCAGCTCATCAACATCGGCTCCACGACCGCCTTCTTCGCCATCCTCTCTCTTAACACCTTGGCCTTATACCTCAGTTACATCATCCCCATCCTCTTCCTCGTAATCCACAAGCTCCAGGGATTTGGCATCTCTTATGGTCCCTTCAGGCTCCCTCGCGGAACGGGCTTGCCGATAAACATATTCGCAGTCTGTTATGCGGTTTTCATCGTGATATGGCTACCATTCCCATCGACGGTGCCAGTCACGGCAGAGACGATGAATTATGGAGGGCCGGTCATGGGTGCGGTGATTCTATTCGCGTTGGTGGATTGGTTTTTGGGCGGAAAGAGGAGGTTCCAAGTTCCAATGGATATTCGGCACGATGAGCATACACTTGATGAGGGTGAGTAGGTACTAGATCAATCTGGCAGAAGATCATTTGCTTAGCTAGTCTGACATTTGTGGTGAAAATTTCCGGGTTCCAACTTGATTGCAGACAAAAAGGGCAATTTCAGTACTAAACTTTCCGTGAAGCTGGCGAGAAGCAGCTAAATATTCGGGCTGGTGGGCACGGACCCTAGCCTGGACATATGGAGCCTTCCCGTATCGGGACCCCACAATTGGTGGGTCCGCCAAGGCGCGAACAGTTGGTACCCACAAGTATACGTCCACATTCGGAATAATAGCATGTATCTGTTGAAGGAATTGCCGATTGTTGTACGGAGTACACAACAGTACGAGCTTGCACAGGGGCCAAAGGCCTCTGTCATTGGGCCATCCAGCCAGTATTAAGTGATAAGTTTGACACGGCCTCACGATTCAGAGCGTGTTTGCCGTCGTTCAAGTAGCTTTGTAGGAGGGACGAGGCAGACAGCGACGAAACCGAGGGCCAAATATCCGTTGTAGCTTCCAAAGACTATGCATCCCTTCAGGTCATATTGGGAGTTCGCCTCAAAGCCCAATGATCGGCCGGACAGAAACCGCACCCAATATCGCTCCGCACACATAAAAGAAATGTTTGTTTGCTGTCCTCACAAACTTCTCACTTTCCTATCGATGTCTTCCGTAGACATGTCGCACATGAATTTTCTCCGTGGAATTTGGCGCAAGGTGAGGAATCCGTCGTCCCCGGCGACGGGAAACCTCACAGATAATCGCCCGGGCGATGCCAAAGCCAATTCGAACGCGCCTGGGGCGACTTTGGATTCCACGAGCAGCGAAGCACCACTGTCCACCCCAGTGAACAGCAGTATCGGCGAAAGAGAAAGACCTGAGACACCACCAAATACAGCCGTCTTGGAGGACACTCCTTTAGATCCTTCGCCGCCCACTTCGGCTCCCCCTACATACTCAGAGACTTTTCCTGAGGTGTTCGCAATCCTCAAACAAGTCAGAGCTGAGAGGCGTCGAGCCCGCGCCACTTCCCGCTCTTTCTGGAGGGAATATCAACTGACAGAGCGCGACTGGCCTGTTCTCAAACGATTCATGGACGGGATGTATGATCCGAGACCGGAGTAAGCCGGAAAAGAATAGAAGAGCCTGAAAATTGGTTGAAGCTAACAATAAGATATAGCTACCACTACTTTTCCCGAACCCAAACCTTCGTTCACTGCTGGGCTTTGGGTCCGCACAGCTCGGCACAGTTCCGATTCTTCTTTTCCCTTTCCCAAAAGTGGATCGCTCTCAGCTCAGGCGATGACGGAGGACGTATGCTCTTTGTTCCCCCGACCGACGTGGAAGCTATGAGTGGCTTTGACTGCCATATACCAAATGGTGTCTTGGCATATGCATGGCTCCCAAGACTTCGCGGAGTGCAACATAGTGTCATTGTCGAGATTGGATACTCGCAGAAGCGAACAAGGTTCGAGGAACTGGCTCAGTTCTACCTTCTCAAAACCACACGAACGACACGATTGGTCATATTTCTCGATTTCGGGTACCCTGGCACAAACAGAGTCACTCTCCTAACGTGGCGACGAGATCATTCGGACCCTGTTGCGGAAAACAAGTTGATATGTTATGCTCAAGTGAGTTTGCCAGGCCCGACATCCAATAACTACTTACAATGCCGACTAGGAGATGCGAAGCGCAGACGGTACACTCATACCGGGTCCGCCGCTCCAGATCACAATGCTCGACCTGATGCCTGCTGACCATGTGCCGTTCTCACTGCGCAACAAGGCTATCGAGTATTCCGTCGAAGAGCTCTGTGGATTGGTGCCCATTGTGCCAATTGACTACACTCCCTCGGCCATCGTTCTAACCTCCTCAAACGGGTACAGAGCTGAATATGAGAGGATCTGAGGATGAAGACCGGTTCCCAGAAGAGGAAGATGAACAGACCAACCTCAATTACGTACCAAACTGAGATTGGCGTGCTCTTCAAACATACCGATCTCCAAAGGGAGGAGCTGGAACCGGGCTCGCAGAAGCTGACGACTAAAGGCAAGGGCAGGCGCTCTTCTATTGTCGTTGCAGAGACCGACGGAGAGCTGGGGAGAGCACAGCAAACAATAGCAGTTGCAAATATTCTCATGAGGAGGCTCAACGTCGGCGTCTTGGGGAGTGTAGCCAAAGTCATTGGAAAGCTGGAATTGCATACGAGCTCAAGGAAAGGAAGGGACTTTTCTTTCTAAATGATACCCTTGTACGATTAGCTTTCAGGTCAATCACCCAGGTTTCTCTGTGCCATTGCAGAGAGTATCCCAAATGTCATCGACCTACTAGAGGTAGGTGCTAATTCCTGTACTTATGAGAAACTCGACGCAGCGATATGCCTTTGCTTGGCTGCCTTTCGATAGTAGATACCTTCCGACTTGTCACTTCATCCAGTCATAAGCACCATCGTTGTCTCGGAATCTGAAATAGCTTTGTTCTCTAAACGGTTACAGACGGGATGGAAGATATCCGACTCTCTTTAGTGCCTCTTTACCTTGCTCCACCGCGGATGCAAATCCAGACACCAAAACGTTGTAGTCCAAAGTCACTAGCAGGAAAGTCATACCCATATCAGTACGCCTTGTCACCATCTCGGACGTAGTCGCCATCGACCCAATGACCTTTCCATGCTTCTTAGCAGCAGCAAGCACTGTTGAGAGAGCTTGCGCAAACTCTGGCTCGGGACCGTCCACCCCTCCCGGCAATCCAAGAGAGAGCCGCAGGTCGTAAGGGCCGATAAAAGCACCGGACACACCGCGCACGGCCATGATGGCGTCGGCATTCTTGATTCCTTCCGCTGACTCGATGATGGGGAGAATTGCAACTCCGTCATTTTGCGCCATATCGTAGTACGTGCCGAATTGTGTTCCGAGGAGCTGTCTGCCGAAGGCGGCGTTGAAAGGACCAAAGCTCCGTTTGCCCCGGGGAGGGTAGATCGCATGGGAGATGATGCGTTCCATTTCAGCGGCGTTGTTTACCATCGGGATGATGATCCCTGCCGCGCCACTGTCCAATGCCCATTTGGTCCATTCGACGTCATGAGAAGGGACGCGGACGATGGCCAAGCACTTGCCCTTCGACGCCGCCACCACGCCGTGCACCATCTGCGTCATTTGCTCCGCCGACATGGGGGAATGCTCCATGTCGATCATCACGAAGTCGAAAGCTTGGGCAGCTAGCATGGCAACGATAGGGGCTTGGATTGTCAGCACCGTGCCTATCAACGGCCGGCCGAGCCGTTTGTGCTGATCTTGGAAACGATCAATGCCTCCGCCGCTTGATGCTTCACCCGTCTGCGATTTGGAGAATAAAAGGTCTTTCATAGCTGCAAAATTGGTAGACCTGGGCTTTCGTAGATCAACTAAGACTTCATGCAAGACATAGAATATACTGGCAAGGAGGAAAAGTTGTAAGCCCAGTCACGGCGGCGTGTTGGCTAAGACGGCCGGGAAGGGGCCCCCTGGATGGACCAATGTGTTTGCAAAGTAACCCTCGGTTGTGTCTATCCACTAGCATTGGAAGTACATATTTTGAGGGGAGTAGAGCTAGTAAAGGCCTCGGTCCGCGATATCCGCCTCATTTTTGGGTGACTGATCGGTCAGTTCGTTTTTGATTGGCCAGTCTTTCAATGCTTGGCAAATCAACCTTCCTCATTCGGCTAGTATCCGAAAGTAACAGCTGTGTGGAGGATTCCCTGGGACATATTGCGCTCTTGGTATCGAGTAAATTCTGAAATACCATGAGGGGCCTTTCAGCGACTCAAAAAACTGTAGCCAGGCAGTTAGGACGGCTATGCACCATATATCAAAGATTACTATGGAATGACAGATGCAATGAGACTTGCAAGTCATTGGAGCCTCAGTGCCAACACCAGCGGATGGATATCGTCACGCCTCCAACGTGCGTGCAGAGATGTGATTAGGCCTGCAGTCAGGATTTGCAGCGTTCCGGCGCCTTAATGAGGACTATGGAAGACCCTGCTGCCAGTATGTGGAAACGTCGTTCTCTCCGTAAGCAGTCGAGCCGGTATCGAAGACTGATACTCGTCTCATGTCCCTCCTATATTTCCCCTCATATTCTCCATGGGTTGCCCTGTGCAGCACGGCACAATTGTCCCATATTGCAACATCATTGTTGTCGTGCCAATGATGTACAAACTTATATTTGTCCTGCTGGACATGTTCAAATATCTCCTTAATTAATGTCTGGCCCTTTTCAAGATCCATTCCGTCGATGTGATGAGTATACGAGGTGACGTAGAGATTCATTCGACCAGAAGGTTCATGCATTTGAGCAATCTTGTGCTTAGCTAGGGGGTGATCCATCGGGTTGATGTCCAGGAAAAGGGGCGAGTCTGGATTGGCCGTCTTTCGGTTGTGGAATAACGAGTTGCATCCCACCAGGCCCTCGATCTCTTTTTTCTTTTCCTCAGGAAGGTCGTCGTATGCTGTTCGAGTGTCCAAGTACTCCGTATGACCTCCGGTACCTTTTGGAGGGAGTTCGACGCCTCGAAGGATCGAGACACCAGTGCGGCGAGGATTGAAAGCCCCATCTGCATGCCAGAGCGCGTTGCCATTTGCAGACGCCGTGCGATGGGGATCTTTGACTGTAACGACTTCATTCTTATCATCCAGGTTCCCTACATCGAATATCTCGTCGTTTGGAATCCTCATTGCCCTCCCAGCCAGCCGGTGGGCCCTGACGCTGTCGAGTTCCCCAAATCGTCGTCCAAGGGCAATAGCAGAATCATCGTCTAGCGCAGTTTTGCGAAGGATGACCACGCCATATTTGTGGACAGCATCTCTCAATTCCTCAAAGAGGTTGTCATCAATCGGTTTGGAGAAATCGATTCCTTCGACTTCAGCGGCAAAGGACTCTGCAAGTGGTGTGATCTGTAGCCTGGTGACACTGGGCATGTTGAAGGCACCTTGTTAACGGTTGAAGTGAAACTTTGCAATAATTATCGACTGGCT